ACCAAAGATTAAAAATAAATAAATAAATAATAAATAAATAAATAAATAAATAAATAAATAAATAAATAAAAGAAAGACTCAGATTCAGGGTTGACAGCAATAGCAATTACATATATTTGATCCTCGTCTATAGAGTTTATAACTGCAAATTCATTCACTATTATTTCTACTCCAGAATACATTATCCTCTCTGTTTTTGCCTTGTTTACAGACATGTGCAGAGTAGGAATAACGACCAACAAAACAAAACAAATCTAAATCTTTTTCAGTCACATCACACACACATTCACGGCTGAGGCCACACAGAACAGCACCCTGCTTTGCTTCAGTGTTCATTACTATACACAGGTGATCTTTTTACGGTCTATTTAGTGTTGTGTTTTTCACACTTTTTGTGTTTCTTGGCAATTTTGTTGTTTAAAATGATCCCCCAAGCACAAGGCTTCAGTGTTGTCTAATTTTGCCTAGTGTCTGAGGCTGTGGCAAACTTCCAAAGAAAAGTTATCAGAGAACTTTGAGTTATAAGTGCTATTTGGCCATAAGGACATTATTAAGGAAAATCAATTATATATATTAAATAAGGTATCTTTTTGTTTGTTTTGAGACAGGTTCTCCTGTACTCCAGGCTGGCCTTGAACTTGCTATGTAGCCAAGGCTGACCTTGAACTCCTCCTGATCCTCCTGCCTCCACCTTCCCAGTGTTGGGATTAGAGGAGTCAGTCACCATGACCAGCTAAATAAGGTGGTATCTTTAAAGAGAAACACACACAAAACAGTTATATAGTAATCAGTTGATAAACAGCGTTGTGAATAAAGGTGCATACAAATCTAATTCTATTATTTCCAATAGCAGTACAGTAGTATTCACTATCAGTATTTGTGGTGACTTTCTAGGATGCAATTACCAAGAATAATGAGAATCAATTGCATCTGTACTTCATTTCCATTTTGACATCACTATGCAGTGGCTGATAGACTATGTAACATTCTGAAGGTTTCAGAAAGTAGAACAGTGATTCTAAATATACACAAGCACAGTGTCAACAATAAAGCACTAGTTTACTTTGGTATAAAGATTATAAAGGGATTTTATCTTTATTAGCATCAAAAATTTGAAAAGTTACATTTTCATTTTTCTATATTTCATAATTTTTTCTTTACCAATTTGATAATAATCTTACTACCAATCCTAAGCATAATTTACTGTTGTAAACCTGCAATTTTTACCAATATTGCTTTAAGAACTAAAAGTTCTTACAAGAGAAACAGTAAGCTGACTTGATTATTTTTATGTTTTTCCACATGATCATTCTTTATTCATGTGTCTGATTCATCTCCTACTTTGTATCCCATCATTTGATTCTGCACAGCGACTGTGACTGCCAATTTCAATAAAATACTCACTATAAGGTAGTCTATGAGAACATTTAAAGGGTTTTTAACTTTAAATTTTCATTAGTAAATCAAACAATAGTTTTAGCCACAAAAATGAAAGTATCACCAAGGTATGAGCACTTATAAAAGATGATTCTAATTCAGCAGACATTATAAAATGGAGAGTTTAAAATTGGCTTGGATTAAACTACATCCCTCTCAAGTAATATAGCTCCCAGTAATAACTATAATCAAGGACCTTCAAAGAGTTCAAATGAACAAAAAGTGAAAACTGCTGGGGTATACAGCTCTGTGTTAGAGCGCCTGCCTGGCTCAGTTGAGGGAAGGGGGGCAGAAAACTAAGTTTTGAGAGGGGAAAAAAAGAAAAAGAAAAAAGAAAAAAATTTAAGTACTAATTTATGAACAAATCAGAGTCTGATATACATGGAAATTAACTGCCAAGAATCAAAGGTATTCTAGAGTATACATGTAAACTGGAAGTATACCCCCACAGTACACATATTGTGCAGAGACTCCAATAGTATGAAGTTTCCTATTTTTTTAAAAAGCTCTAAGTACACTGATAATGCAACACACACCAAATAAAGCCATTTAAGATCACAAATGCTTCTGTTCAGTGATTTAGACTTCCTTTTAATAGAACTACTGTCCTAATCAGAGTCTACCAAGGACATAACATCCTTCCCCCGTTTCACTTTTTGGCAATCACGTTTAGTTCCTTCTATTCCCTTATTCCTCTATAAATGACTTTATTTTGTTGAAGCTTCAAAAGTCTGCTAAATACTAAGGGAGAAGCCCCACATTTACTTTTGTTGTGGTAAGTTTTGTCTTTAATTGACATAAAAAACTGTACATGGTTATGGGGTGCCATGTGATATTTTGATACATGCATACATTGCATATTAAATCAAGATAAACATACATCTCCTCACACGCTTGCCTTTTATTTATGATAAGAACATTTAAATCCTCTCACCCAGCTTTGTATAATATACTGTACATTACTATAATCTACAGTCATCATAATATGCAATAACAAACAGAATTACTTCTATTTATTTTCCCCAACACTCTCCCCAGCCTCCAGTGCCCACTGTTCTACTCTCAATCTCCAGAAAAGAGACCTTTTTTAGATTCACATGTGATGAAAAGCGCAATTCTTGTCTTTCTGTGCCTGGCTTAACATAATGATCTCCAACCCCATCCACTTGTTATAAATGACCAAATTTAATTCTTTCTTATGGATGAATAATATTCTATAGTACACATGCGCCACCATCAATTGTTACAGAGACTTAGATGTCCATTTCTTGGCTATTGTAAATAGTGCTGTAATAAACATACAGGTTCAGATGTCTTTGTGACATCCTGACTTCATCTCCTCTGGATTTATAACCATGAGTGAACAGATGGGTAATAGTGCACTCTTATTTTTAATTTTCATACTGTTTTCCATATTGGCTATACTAATTCACATTCCTACAACAATATGCAACAGGGTTCTGCTTTCTCCACAACCTAACCTGCATTTATCTTTAAAAAAATGTTTTCTTATTTTTGTTATCTATGTGCATTTGTGCCCGTTTGGGTGTGAGTGTATACATGTTTGTGGGTGCCTGTCAAGGTCAGAAGAGGGCATGTGATCTCTTGGAGCTAGAGGGGTTACAGGCAGTTGTGAGCTGCCTGACATGGATGCTGGGAACTGAACTTGGGTCCTCTGAAAGAACAGCAAGTGCTCTTAACCACTGAACCATCCTGTCAGCCTCCAGGACTTACCTTTAGTTTTAAAAACAGCTCTTCTTCCATACTTTAGCATACCTGCCACTCTTTATTCACTTGTCTGTTCCTAAGCTCTTCTTGATGTGGTCACCAGACTACTTGCTAATGGAACTCCTATTTCTCTTTCTAGCATCTTTTTTTTGCATTGTTGTTCTTGAATGATCAGTTCTCAGTCCTTTTCTTTCACCATTCAGTGAAAATCTACTCACTTCTAGATTCAGCTGTATAACATATATGATACTTAATATGTGTACATATAATATGTGGAACAACATACACATACCTATACAAACTTTATATACTAAGGACTGCCAAATCTCTCCCAAGAACCACCTGGATATTTCTAAAACAATTCTAAATCTCTCTTCCAATATTTCATATTTATACTGTTTGAAGGAATTTGTAAAAATATAATTTAAATTTTCTGCCTAAAATTTTTCAATGTCTTCCTGATTGATATCAGGTTATGGCTAAACTCTTGGGATAGGTATTCAAACTTATTCATAATCTTACATTTTCCTTTCCAGTTTTACTGCTAACTATCTGTACTACTTCCTTCCTCAAACCAACCTATTACCAAATCAAAGTCTTTAAAGGTTCTTGACTCAGGTTCCTCCCTCCTTGCCTTCCTTCCTCTATATTATATTTTCCTTTCCAGCTTTACTACTAACCACCTTCATCATCTCCTTCCTCAGTCCAACCTATTACCAAATCAAGTTCCTTGAGGATCTTGACTCAGTCTCTCCTTCCTTCATATATATTTTCACATGCCCTTTGTCTGACTGCTATACCTTCCTTATTTACCTCTAGAGTCTGTCATAGTCTGTTCATGAGTATTTTGTCTATGAAATCTTGTCCTCCTCAGGACAACGTCCTCTGAGTTCCCCCTAGAGACACTTATATGTGTGTCTCTTGATCATTCTTCTCCCATTTATAATACCATACCTGACTTTAAAAAGCAGTAATCTATTTATCTTTCTGTCCACATGCTCCTATTTTTAAAATATATCACAACTTCATTAAATGAATGTATTAATCCTTGGTAAAGACTTTAAAGATTAAAATTTTCAAAAGTCAAAGAATTTGCCCTTTTTCACAAATGTTGTCTAAACAGTGACAGATCTTCTAAACAGATTATTAAGTAACTAGAGACATTGGCTTTTAATTTAATATAAACCTTTCTATAAAAATACAAAACAGAAAGTAATTTTCTGGGCCCAGATTAAATTTAGCACATGCAATAACATACTGATTAGTAACTATGCAAATGAAAACATATAAATCTTATCATCAAAAAAGGGTGCTGAGAAACAACAAATTTAGTTTAAAAAGTTTTCATGCTAGCAAGATGGACTATGAGTATATCTTGTCAGAATAAGAAAAAACTTACTATAAAAACATTTGGATTAATATTGTATCTTCCTAAATTCTTCTTTTAAAAGGACCAACTATACAAAAACTCTTTTTGCACCCAAGTCATTCTGTTAGTAGCACCAGAAGCAGATCTCATATCAGCAGAGCAGCATTTACGCAGGATCACTCAGATGGGAAAAATCCTGAAACACTTACCAGTTTAATAAACTGTACAGAGCAATGACAGCATCAAAAAGGAGGAAAAGCAAACTAGAAGTATAAGGTGACAAGTGAAAGGGAAAAAAGCTGGCAAAAAATATCATTAGAAATTAAATTTGAAAAGAATGGAAAGATGCTAAAGAGTAAAACAAAATTGGAAGACACAGTTATGAAATCATAAGAGCTTACCTCTTGACGTTTAGAAAAATAAATATTGGTATCATAAAAGTATATGGAAAGGTACTAAGTAAAGTAATAATACATAGAATTTTTTCAGTATAAACAAAATGAAACAAAATTGTTACCTTGATTTCTCTTTGTTCAACAGACTTTTCCCATATTTGCTGATCATATGCTCCAATCTACGAAGAAAAAACCACTCTATTAAATGATCATTGCTGGTACCCAACTCTTCAAGTTCTAAGCCATTCAATGTTCACAGGACACAGATCTGGTGTGTCTTTAAATTTCTGGGATCAATCTTTGAAAATCCCTCTAAGATAATACTGATATTTGAAAACCATGCCCTAGGGAATTCTTGATTTTAAATAAATGAAATTAATATAGCACTGGTATAGTCAAGGAAAAAAAAACACTTCAAAATGACGAATCCTTAATGGAGTTATTTTTATAGAAAAAAAGAAAAATATTCCATAGAATTAGAAATCATAAACTTGCAGACCACAAAGTTGTTTCTTTCTGAGACAGGTTCTCAATCTGTAGCCTAACTGGCTCAAACTCACAGCAACCCTCCTGACTCAGTACCCTCAGTATCTTGCTGGGATACAGATGTGAGCCACCACACATAACTAAAGTTTAAGCTGGTAAATATAGTTGTGAAACAAGTGAGGGCATGGGAAGGAATCAAGAATTCATTGCGCCTGTCTACTCTTAGATACTGGAAACGTCTCTGAACTACACTTCGTCCAGGACATGATGATCTGTCATTACTTACCATTCTTAACCAAGTTCTTTGTTTAAATCCTATGGTCTTCACTTTCCACTTAATTCCCTGTATCTAATAGGACACTGAAATGGGCCAATAGTCCAAATTATTACTGGAAATCTTTATCATTTACATTAATTGGGATTAGAATTTTTTTTAAATTATTTTTATTTTATGTGTATGAGTGCATTGCCTTCATGTGAGTGCGCCCGTGTCGTGCAATGCCACGGAGGTCAGAAGAGGGTTTTGGATTCCCCTGGAACTGGAGTTAAGTATGGTTTGTAGCTGTCATGTGGGTGCTGGGAATTGAACCTTCGTCGTCTGTAAGAGCAATCAGTGCTCTTTACCACTGAGCCATTTCTCCAGCCCTGGGATTAGAAATGAAATAGAAATAGAAATCTTAAGAAATGAAAATTTAAAATTATTACACTGTATTAATCACTTTTCTGTTGCTGTGATAGAAACACTGACCAAAGTAATCTATAGAAGGAAGAGTTTATTTGCGCTTACAGTTCCAGGGGAATTACAGTCAGTCATGGCAGGGAGGCATGGTGGCTGGAGGTGGCTGAAGCAGGAGCAGCAGAAGCTAAGCTCTCACATCATCACACAGGCACAGGAAGCAAGAGACCGACTAGAGATCTGGCAAGGCTTAAGAACTCTCTAAGCCAACCCCCAGTGACATGCTTCCTCCAGGATAGCCACACTTTCTAAAACCTCCCAAAACAGCGCCATCATCTGGGGACAAAATGTCCAAACACTTGGAGCCTATGGGGTACATTTTCATTCAAACCACCACCACATACACCTAAAGGACTTAAGTAGGAGAAAGACAAGCAAAGCTATTTCAAGGAAACTCAAGAGAAAGGGTACTTTCCTATGTCAGTTTATTCAACATTATTTTTTTTTAAGACACAGTCTTACTCTGTTGCCCTGGCTGACCTCAAACTCACAGAGATTTACCCACCTCTGCCTTCTAAGTGCTGAGATTAAAGGCATCCACCACCATACCTAGCCCTCAATATCATTTTCATCTAAACTTTTTTCCCCCTTTCAATTGAGACATGATCTTGCTAGGTAGTAAAGGCTGATCTGGAGTTTGTGATCTTCCTGCCTCAGCCTCCTCAGTCCTAAGATAGCAGGAGCATGCCACCATCCCAAGTTTTAAACATTCTGTTCAAGTCATATTTCAAGAAATGTGAACTTGAGAATGGCAGACATGAAGGAGGCAGAATAAAATAATCTTCTAAATGACTCTGTAAAACCCTCTATTATTTTCTCTTGTACAGTACCTTAATTCATACTACCTTCCCCCTCATATTTTGTTTTTTGTTTTTTTGTTGAGACAGTGTCCCTATGTAACTCTGGATAGCCTGGTACTATGTAGACCAGGCTGGTCTTAAACTCATAGCAACTCACCTGCCTCTTGTACTAATAATTACAGTCCTATTAATCCTGTCTTTTCTTTCATCACTTTCCTTTAATTCCCTATCTTTTAAAGTTACATTATGATACAAATTAACATGAAAATTAAATCCTTCTAACACCTAGCTCAAGCTACCTACACTGAAAATCTCACTTCTGAGTAACTGAAACTATCATTCTATGGAACAAGTTTTAAGTAGCCACATGCAAACCACCACCAACTGTTTACATCTAATAGTAGTCACCCCCTAATCCTCTTCAATTCTGAATTCAATCAAACATCAATCATCTTTTTAAAATAACAGAATGTATAGGTAAAGGAATATATAATCCATAGGAGCAAATCTGCTTTAGCTGGATAATTCAGAATGACAAGGGATTTAAAATTAATTTTTATTTATTATTTTATTTTTATTTTACGTGTATGTGTGTATTGCCTGCATGTAGGTAAGTGCACCCATGTCATGCAATGCCCGCCAAAGTCAGAAATGGCTGTTGGATCCCTTGGGACTGGAGTTACAGACAGTTGTTAGCTGTCATGTGGGTGCCAGGTCTTCTGCAAGAATAACCAGTGTTCTTAACCGCTGAGCCATCTCTCCAGCCCCTAAAATTAATTTTTAAATTAATGTGTATGTGTGCATGCCTGCTTGTCTGTGTGTGCACCATGTGCATGCAGTGCTCAAGGAGGCCTGGAACTGGAGTTATGGGCAGTTCTGAGCCACCTGAGGTAGGTGCTGGGAATCAAACCCAGATCATCTGCAAGAACAGCAAGTGCTCTAAACCACTGAACCATCTCTCCATCCCTATGGCTAGACTGTTATACAATCATGACAGGGTTTATGTTGCTGTTGTTTTGTGACAGGGTCTTGTAACACCACACAGGCTGGCCTTGAATTCAAGAGCTTCCTGCCTTTGTCTCTCTTGTACTGGGATTACAGGCAGGCACCATCATGCCTGGCTATAGCTTTTAAAACTTATTAAAAATTTAAGTCATATAAAATAATTTCATATATAATGTTTTTAAAGTATAATAACTCCACTACATCAAATATTTATAGTGAAATAATAACCCAAACTAACAAAGTTACAGAATGATATAATTTAATATTTATTTTGGCAATACCTTATTTTCATATACAAAAGAATGCCTAATTTCTCTTTTAGAGAATATTGCTTCTATTTCAAGGTCACTCAAGAACATAGATATAGAAATACATACTCCACAATCCTGAAATCAGGAAAATAAAACAATGCCTATGCAACAGACCAAATAAAAACTATTCACTCCTTGGCAGAACTAGGCCAACTCTACTAACAGAGGCAGGTATATAAAGGTACAGAAAGTCTAAGAAACCCTGTAAGGAAACCATATATATAAGTAGAAAGGCTCTTTGAAGGCTGAGATGTTTATCTTGTAAATAGAATGCAACTCTGGGGCTGCAGAGCTGGCTCAGTGGTTAAGAGCACTGGCTAATCTTGTAGAGGACCAGGTTCGATTTCCAGCACCCACCTGGTGGCTAACAACCATCTATAACTTCAGTTCCAGGGAATCTGAGGCCCTCTTCTGATCTCAGTGGGCACTGCACAACATGTGTGACCTTACAAACATGCAGGCATACATTCATACACAAAAAATTAATAAATAAAGCCAGGTGTGGTGGCATATGCCTTTAATCCCAGCACTCGGGAGGCAAAAGCAGGTGGATCTCTGAGAGCTTGAGGCCAGCCTGGTCTATACAGCAAGTTCCAGGTCAGTTGGGGCTATAAGAGACCCTGTCTCAAAACAACAAAAACAAACACACCCTGAAGAATTGGGAAGGGGACTGGAGAGATGGCCAAGGGGTTAAGAGAATTGACTGCTCTTGCAGAGGACCCGGGTTTGATTCCCAACACCCACATGGTGGCTATGAACCATCCTTAATTAACTCCAGTTCCAGGGGAATCTAAAAATCTCTTCTGACCTCTGTGGCATTGCACAACACAGGTGTACTCACATACATACAGGCAATACACTCATACACATAAAATAAAAATGAATAAAATATTTTTAAAAAATAAAAACTCAGGATAAAATGGGTTGTTTTACTGGTTGTAATGCAAAGATGGATGAGTAAGAGTAAGAGCAACTTTCATTGTAATACAAGGCCTTATGGAGTCTTTTTTTTTTTTTTTTAAACTAGTTGAGTGTTGTTTTCAATTACAAGTGATTAAGAATCTACATGGAGGCACCAATTCTCTTTTGCAGTAGACTTCTTTCATTTTAAGAATACTCCCAGAGTGCAACTTTAAGTCACATATGCAAACAGACTGCTTTCTTGGAGAAAACTGAGGGTGCTATTAATTTTCAGAGATAGCCAGGGCTCTGCTTTGTGGTGTACATGCCCTTAACAATCATCATACATATCTATTCAAACAAACCACCCTGAAAATTGTCTTTGCATATGTGCAACACATCAGACACATCATAAAACGAGCACATCAAGATATAGGAGGAGTTCCTAAGGCAGGATTTTATTCCAAACTGAGATTTGGCAAGACAGTTGATTCCAGCACCTGTGGCCAGGGTCAAGTTCTTTCCGTGAAAGAAACATAATCCTACTTCTCAAAGGGAAGAGGTATCTTCTCAGGTCTTAGGGTCATGGATCAGCTGCAACTTGCAAAGGTGTGCAGCCAACATTAAAAACAATGTGACAGGTTTCCTAGTTTCCATTTTAGCTCTGACACAGAAACATTTGGGAGACTAGACTAAGTCAATAAACTTGATAGCAATTGCTTTTTTGTATTTCTGCTACATAAAATGAAACCACAAGGCCAAGTTCAACTATGGTTCTCTGTCAAAAACCAACAAGAAAATGACTACATTATTATCTTAATGCCATACAAAAGCGAAAAACAGCTCAGCTGTAATATTTACCTGACTAGAACAGGAATTTTATTCAGAAAACACGTCTTGAACTGAGAAAAAAAAACTAATATTTTGTTTTGCAAATTTCC